GTCTCATCTGTTTCTCTAGTCAGAGATCAGTCTGAATAAAGCCCACCTAGCACAGAAATTCCTACATAATGTGATTTGCTCATTGCTGAATTCACTTTTAAGATTTTCTGCATCTTCCAGTCTATTAATATGTGGCATGTCAGTTAGCTTCAAATTAGCAGCATTTGTATAGGATTAACTTTGTGCACATTTACACTCAAAGGATTTATCTTCATTAAGCTGTTGAGCTCCTATTTCTTTCAAAATCCATTTGCCCAGAACTCCTATTAATTTAGCACATCCAGAGTGACTTGTTTTGCTCTGACTAGAACTCAAAACCCCATATCATTGTGTGATACCATGTATTCTAAATACCATACTGGGCAGTCCCAGGTGCTACCTGTAGACTGCCTTGAAATCGCAAGCTCCTGCCAGCCTTAGTGGCATTTGAGTCAGGTTGCACATACGTAAAGCAAATGAGCATGGTGTATGTCTGTCTGCAAACTATGGGATGGTGCACCTGGGCTCTGCCCTCCGTTACATCCTTCCCCAGGGCTCCCACAGGACCAAAGGAATGGCTGGCTGTACCTCGCTGGTGTCCATGGGAGGGAGTGTGCTTTGGGGAATGGCTGGGAAGAAGCAGAGAGGGGTATGGTGATGGAAAAGGTATGATTCTCACCTTTTTTTTTTTTTTTTTTTAATTTCTCTCCCTGGCCCCTTCCTTTTCCTGATCTTGGCTACAGTTTAGTCAAATGTGTTGGGTGCACTGCGAAGCCTTGCCTCAAGACCTCTTGCATGCACAGAAAGTGGTCATTGTCTTAGTCTGAACAGAGTCCCAACCTTTTGAAGGTGTTGATGGATTTATCCATCAAGTGTTTTATAAGGCGTTCTTGTTTCAGCATTAGAGATCAGAAGGGTTTTCTTTTTCATATGAGAAAGATCTTGGCCTTCCTTGTTCCAATGGTGATCTTTGACAGGACAAGTAATTCTACTCGTTTTGTTAAAACCTAAATAGCAGTACATTAACAAGTGTCTGGTACAAAGAACTGATAAATGTAATCAAATAGGTTTTAAGCTAAAGCTTGTAATTCAGTCTTTTTTCTTTTTCTTTTTTCTTTTTTTTTAGAAAAAAATCACAGGAAACACTATACTTATTGTGCTTTCTTATTGTTCAGGAATCCATTGGCAGCAGCAAAGTAGTCCTTATGGAAACCGTTCTTGATTTCTGTTGTGACAGGGTTTTCCTTTATAGCTGTTCTTGAAGGTGCTTTCCGGTATGTCTATAAAAGCAAAATCCAAAGTAAATACTTGGATTTATTTAGTGGCCCCCAAACACAACTTATGGTTAATTGTAAAATGGAGCTGTCTGGTGTTTGCTGATGCAGATGTATATATTTGCTTCAGACTGCGTTAAGGGAACTGTATTATTTTCACTGCCGTGGGTGATATTACCTTACTAGTGTTACTGTAATACTTTTGATGTCAAAAGAGTTTTTAAGCCCTTTTCACTAGAAGCTCTATGTACACAGGCAGGCTGGAGCAGTCCCTGCTAAAAAAGGTTGAAATAAACAGTGCAAAGACAGAGCTGCTTGTTTCTTTCTTCCAAGGAGGGAGGAAGACTCAAAGTTGCCCAACAGAGTAAATTCAGACCTCCTAAGTCCTGAATGTGGTACCTGAGTTGCTATACAAGTGCAGAAGAGCTGAGTTGGAATGGGGAGGTCATCACTACTGAATAACTCTCTCTTGAAGACGTTACTGTATCCCTCATTCTTAACTGGCATACATATTTTAATACAAACATATTTTAAGTGCTGGTGCTCCTTCTACATGTGAGTTCATCAAGACTGCTATCCAGAAAGTTCTTTTTTTTTCCCCACTCTTGTCAGAGCACTCTTGGAAGCCTGCTTACCTTTATGTAGAAGTTTATGAAGAGAATGACCAGTGTGGCCATGTAGGAGGACTGGAACATGAGGCAGCCAAATGGGAATCCACATGGCTTCACAGCTGCACTGAGAGTGTGCACAATAGTGAGCAGAAACTGGATCTGTGGAGGAAAGATCATGCATGAGTATTTGCTGAGAAAGGGTCAGTGCTAGCTAAATCAGATATAACAATGTCACCTACTCCTGCTCTTTGAAAGTTTGAGTACTCTTGAAAACTATCCCTTTCTGAACCTGTGAATGTATTATGAGGGTTAAATTAAAATGGTGCTCTTATGAAATTAAAAAAACCTGTACTGGGTCAGAAGTTTCTAAAAATGAGTTTATAGGCCTAGCTGGCAAAATTAAACTACTTTGTGGTTTGGTTGTTTTTTTGGTTTTGTTTTTGTTTTTTTTTAATAGGGGTTGTTCTGTTTTCCAGACTGTGTCATGCCAGGTACAGCATTGTCGCTGTTACTGGGCAGAAACTCAAGAAAATTCTGAAGACTCTGGGCAATAGCTTTAGAAGTCTGAACAGAAAATGGAAATCCCAGGTCCGAGGAGAAGTTCAGGTAGGCTGGGGTTTGCATTAATGGAGTTAAGATGGGGACAAACAAAGCAAAAATGAGATGAAGAAGGAATTGCAGAAGGCTGCCTGTATTTAGGACTGTGAACCACAGCCCATGCTGATTCTCCCGAGCCAGCTAGGCGTGCCATCAATCCAGCGTGCTGAGGTGCATTATTATTTCAAACAGGGCAGCGTGTTTCAACTGCAGGGGCGGTCTCAGCTCAGAAGAGAAGCATTTGCTAAGCACGTTTCTATACAGGTGTCTTTAAGCTCACTGCAAACATCTGAACTCTTAAATTATATGAACAGGCCCTAAGATAAAAAAGTGAAAGGAACTGTATTTCACATCAAGCCTTATATCTTGTTGATAGAAGCTTTTGATGTGGCTCAGCTCTTTGGGTACAGCAACTGGGCTGCAGGGAAATCTCTGCCCTTCCTCCCCTCTTTCTGCTCTGACCCGGGTGTCTACTGGGCTGTTTCTCCTACATTTTCTCACTCCTCTCTCCCAGCTGCTGTGCAGCAATTTTTAGCCTTTATTAAAAATATCACAGAGGTGCCCCTAGCTTTGCTGATGGGCTCAGCTTCAGCCAGTGGTGGGTCCATCTTGGAGCCAGCTGGAGCTGGCTCTGTCAGACAGTTTTTATAACTCTTTAATCAGTCTATTTGCCATGATTTAAGCAATGTCCATTTTCTACATGAGAGATAAAAAAAATGGAATTTTATGGATTGTAGAGTTTCTACTGTATTTCTACTGCATTACTACTGTAGAAAATACTTCTGAGCTCCATTTCCTTTATTAAGTTATACTAGCTGTACTGGTGACTTATTCTATATGATAGCTTTTTTATATCTGAATTCTAACTGGCTTAATTCTGCAAATGACAATATTGATCTGTCATTCAACTCTGGTATTTTGAAGGATTTCTGGTCGTTAAAAATAAGATTAAAATAGATATATACCAATTGTGCCTGAGTGAGGTATTTCTTCCACCACAGATACTTGCGCATAGAAGGGATGACTGACAGTCCGTAATAAGAATACATGAGCACGTGGATAAAGCTATTCAAAGTGGGTCCAAAGAAACCTGTAAAAATCCAACAAGGGAAACATTTTATATACCAACTGCTAAAAAGTGAGAGAAGATATTATTGTTAGCAATGTCTCTTGCATACAGTAAGTCTTCCCTTTGTGTTTATCCTTTGCTAAAGACATTCCTGATGCGAAGAGATGCTGTCTTAGGGACAACTGACAAACTGAATGATACTTCCTATAGGGTTTTTCTCATGCTGAATATTGTATTTTCATCCTGTATTTTCATTTTCTCCACTTTCCTTTTCTGTTCTGTAGTTTACAGGTTATTGCTTTTGTTCCCTTCCCAAACGTTCTTTGCGCGAGTCTCTCCATTACTGCTGTAAGCTTTAGACGCTGCTGTGGGAGACTGTGCTGCTGGTGCTGCAGCTTAGCGGCCTGGGAGGCACCTGCTCCCCTGCTCTCTGATGCAGTAGTATGGGCTTTACTCTGAATTAAACTAGCCTCGTGTGGCTGTGTTTGAGCACCGCTTTCATTTTCTTCGGTGGCTCTTCTGCTAGATGCAGATTTCCAGAATTTCACCCCAGATAATACTTTGCCACTGTAATTAGCTACACTTAGTAAATACTAATTCTAGAGCAAATTAATTACCCTCTGTTCCTTACAGACTATTGAGAAATAGCAGCACTACTCTATCTGCTGTTTGCTCATGTGTTTGATGGCAGTGCTTGACAACTACAAGATGGTCTCGCCAATTGTTTTGATTTTTTCACTGACTAATGACTTAATTACTAGTTAATTATTTAGCTACTGATTTTTCCACTCTGTAAATTATAATAGTGCAAAGCTAGTGCAAAGTGTGGGGAATATGTTTAGACACAATAGAAAGCACAAACCTCCACTAGTTTGTTTACACCTCTGTAGAAATAGCTCATAATTGCTATGAAATCCTTGATCTCTGCTTCTACCTATACCAGATTTACTTTGATTTTGTGCTGTCCAGAATAAGTGACAACAAATGCGAATTCTGCTTTTTGTTCTGAAAAACACCTGCAACAAGTTGCTTTACAAAATGTTGCAGCGGACTGAGGTGACTCTCTTTAATAGCTCAAAGTAAGAAAACTGATTGTCTTCTCAACTCTAACAATGCCACTGGAAGCCTCTGGCTGTATGAAGTCCTGGAAAAGTGTACACGTTGTGAGATACCTGAAGTAGTTCTCTGCTGTTTGGACTTAGTATACAAATGCCAAGTGACCAGCCTATGGCACCGTACATCTTCCCCACCTCAACAGGGGAGATGATGACCATTGCAGTATCCTTCTAAGAGCCAAGTCATTTAGAGATTACTGTTGTGAAATATATTGCAGCCAAAATATAAAAAGGCAAAGGATGCTGCTACTTCTGCTATTTTGATATGAAATGTAAGACAGTATTGATTGGTTCTGGCTGTCCAGTAGTTCTACTGCTTGAATGAGATGTATTCTCATTTAAAACAAAGCAAACTCAAACTGGTATTTTAATTAGCCATTAGGTAAGTAAAGTATCTTGCTAAAGCAGAATGTTAGATTGATGCATACAGGAGTCAAACTTGTACAAATGCTATTGAGTTCATTTGTTGTGATTGACGCTGACTTTACTAGGGTCATGATTTCCTCCTACATCTGCTTTTGGAGTAGGCCTTGTATGTGATCGCTCTTGGGTGCTACTCAGCAGTGTTATCCTGTCTAAAAGTGGTTTGGAGAGAAGTAAATATGAGGGGCTGTGGCAGCTAAGTGGAAAATCTAGGCCCTAACACTCAGATACTTTTTTGCCCGAACTTTTAACCATGCTTTTAATTTTACTGCAGTCTGTGGGTATTTGGCAGTTCTGAAAGGCTATGAATCTTACTGATGCTGTCAGTGATACACTTGCTTTGCATGGTGATGTGATTCTCCCCCACCAACAGGTGACTTATACCCCAGGTGATGAAGTGAACACAGACTTACTTTGCCCACAAGGTATCCAGTTCAGAACACACCACCAAATGTTAAACATGGTGGCATGGTGATACACGTGAAGGAAGGTGATCTGGCTGCTTTTCTTTCTCAGTACAAAAAAGATAGTATCCATGAATTCGATTACTTTGGAAAAATAATACCACCACAGCACCTTGGCTACCTGTACAAGCAAGAACAAAGGAGCAGGAGATCAACATCTGTCCATAAAAGGGCTTGAATATTGCTGTACTTATCAGTGCCTAGGCATGCAACTTCCCAAAAGGCATTAATGTCCTACTGAAGGAGGAGCACAAGCTCTGGCTTCAATTTTATTTCCCTTTTGAATGATGCAGTTTAGAAAAAATGTATAATTTTAAATGTGATTGTATAAATATATAATTATCTAAATATAATTTAAGAAATATGAACTTTGAGGAAGGGTTTTTTAACTGTTCTGTTTTTTTCATAAAAAATACAGTTGTGTGTGGGTGTTTTGTGTTTTTGTTTTTTTTTTTTTAAAGGGGCTACCATTTACACTTTCTTGGCACTGAACAGATTTTGCTGGCAGATGCTTCTTTTTAAATAATCCAGATCTGACACTCAACACAATGGAATATACCCTCCTCTAGAGTTGAGACACTTTATCAGAGTTTGGGTTATGTCCCAGGACAGTTAGAGACAGTTAGTTGAAACAGAAAGAGGGAAAACGCCTTGATGGGAAAAGGTATTTGACCTTTTCTTTGCCATAACACAGACAAACTTTGAGGGTTGGGGAAAATTATATAAGTTAACCAATCTTTCTGCCCTTGAGCTATAATGTTATCTGGAAAGTAAGCCTGACGTGGGGAATGACAGAGAGTTAATACATGGAAGTGCTGTGATGCGGTAATAAGGGTTGAAACTAGAGATAAGCCAAGCCAGCAAACTGTCTCTGCAGTTTTCCAGAGTTTAGAGTTGGGCTTAAGTCCGTTTCCAGCTAAAGCCCAACAAGTGTTACATTTTAGATGATTGATTTTTGTTCCAAATTTTTAAATGATCCATATTCTGTGTTTTAATAGTCAGGCAACACTGTTTTGAACACGAATCTTGATATACGCCTCTTCAAAATACTCCCTGTCATGCTTTCTACAGCAAGGATGCATCTGTATTGAATCAGAAAGATAACGCTTCTTGTTTGCTACCAGCTGTTAGGCAGCTTGATTAAAACCCTCATGTTAAAGATGTCCTCAGTAATATCCTTATAACTGCTGTGGACGCAGAAGTGTTGCACTGAGGCCGCGGCGGGAAGGACCGCTGCGGATGCTGGGGGCTGAGCTGCTCCCGCCTCTCACCCGGACGTCGGCCTCCCCTGCGCTGTGGAGGTTCTGGCACTGCAAGTTGTAGCTGCCTTCCCATGTGGCAAGGATGAGCTGGAACAGAAAACACAGCATTTGTGCTCATTAACAGATGTAGCAGTTTGCTTTTACCACTGCAGTTGTTCTGTGTTTATTGAAAAAAGCGGCACGGAAATATGGTAGGTTCCCACTCCTTCCATCAACCGATGCTCCTAAACCAGACAACCTGCTACTGTCTTCTGTTTCAAACTGGAAAAGGCATCAGGCTGTGTAGAAGATGTACACTGAAAAGGTACACCTTTTACACTTCTCAAGCTTTGGAGCCTTCAAGGCATCCATTAAAATCTCTTGTTACTTAGTGCAGTGATCCTCACTCCAAAGTTTGTGCTTGAATATTGTATGTCTGTCCTGAAGCAGCATGAACAGAGCTTAACATAGCTACTTGTGCAGAATTGTCCTTGAGAAAAATTCCCTGATGCCAAGCAAGCAAGCAAACAGAAGGCAAATCCAAAGCAGTGCAATGGGAGAACTATTTCCTAATGCCACACACGTCTCTATCCTACACTGTTAAATGCAGGAGGAAGTGGAGGAGAGCAGGCATAGTGCTGAATGGAAACGTGAATAGACGCACAAGCAATTTCTTAGATTTAGCGCATGTCATACTAGGAAGCAGACAAAGCAATGAAATGTCAGGCTACCACACTGTGATGGAGCAGAAGGTTTCTAGAAAAACATGGTGGCTTCTGATGGAGAATAATTTTATAGTAATGACCACCTGAAGCATTCAGCAGCCATTTTGGAATAGGGAGCATCATTTGTTGTCTACAAATGCTCTGTAGAGTCTATTGATTTTAAAAAGGTCTTGCTTATTCTTCAATGTGTGAAAAGTGGTTTTGGGGGCCAAACTGAGCAATTCATGTTCTGGGGTCTGCCTCCCTCTCTACAGAGGATGCAGTGAGTGATGGTGGGAGAAGTATAGCGAAGTGTTACATTGTAAGCAGAATTGCAAGATGCTGTGAGAAGTGGGTTGCTTTCAACTCTGGCACTACATTCACAGGGAAGGTGTCTCTGTCAGTACAGACTTATTCCTCCACTTCAGACTGAAAAGTAGTCTCCTGTGTTGAATGTGTGACATTCTCTACAAAAGCTAGGTAGAGATATTCTCAGTGATCAAACTGAATTAATTCCTAGAGTTAAATACATTAAAAAATTATTATTGATAATATTATCTGGAGAATTAGCAAAAAGCCCAGAATGCTTATTATAAATTCATACTAAAAAGCAGTAAAACCTGGAGACCCAGGGTCTTCTGTTATTTTTCCTCTGAATTGCAAGTCTGTGATTATCCCTGTAATTCCAACATAGCTGGTGTATGTGGCCAAAATAACCCGTAGAGATTGCAGAGGGAGATGAAAAGACAAAGAATGAGCAGTTGGCAGATAACTGCTATATAACAACCGAAACAAACTCCTTTTTGGAACAGCCCTTGTTTTGGTGCATTTGCCTACAGTGTGTGCCAGAGGTCACCAAACCAAAGAGGATGGGACGGGAGTCTAAAAACAGGGGAAAAACCAAAAACCCAGCTAGAGATCCTCATACAAATGCTCAGCGCAGCTGAGATCACAGCTTGTCTTGCCAAGTTGGCTGCTGCCTGGGTGTTGTGCCTGCAAGCACGCAGGGCTGGGACATGTGGGTTCCTCTCCTTTCCTCGCTGTAGCAGGCGTGTGGGAAGGAGAGGCATGTGTTGCACCTTTCCAACTAACTTAATCTGCAGAGGTGCTGAAAAGAAGGGAGTTAAAAGTCCTTGAGAAAAGCAAATTATGTTGCTTCATTTCCCTATTATCTTTCAAAAAGCAGCTGAGTGGAAAAGGGATCCTTTCTGCTCTCTGAGTAGGAGGCAGAGGGCATACAGTTCCCCAGCTGTCCCTCCTGTGGCATGTCCTTGGTCCCCAGACCTGTGCCTATGCTGTAGCTGGCAATAGGTAGCATCTTCCTGAGGGATGGGGAGATATTACTGCATGGTTGCTTTTCTGGGTAGCTCCTCTCAGTGCCTTCTTTTTGCACTCTCCTGCCTTGGGTTTTCTTTCCAAATGAGAGGTGACTGAGTGATCCCCAAACAGAGACTTTTGGAATAAGCAGGTACAGCATCATTCACAGGCTGTTGTTGAAGATTTGCTCTCAAATCTGTCTTGTTACTTGAGAAATGCTGAAGAAAATGGAATTGTCATCTTGGTCTTGGCTGGGAGCGGTATGGTCAAATAGTGCTGGAGTATCAGGAGCTCATCTGGAAGGCAGCATCCTGGATGCTAGCGGGCTGCAGCGGTGACATCTGGGAGCTTTAGTAAGGCATTGCCTCAAACATGAGCATTAACAACTCTGCCAGAAACCTCTGCTGCTAATTCTACCAATAGGAGCAGGAAATAAATGATATTGCCTCTTGCTATTTTATTTTTCTTAGTCAACTATAATGAAACCCTCATTGGCTTTATAGGTGGGAAGCAGTGACAGTGGCACCATCTCTAGCCCTTGGGATTGCAGGGAATTGAAATCATGACCTGCAAAACCTCAAAACCCTAAAAACAAATGATGGGGAAGAGGTGACTGGTTTTCCATTCTTGTGCGAGGTAATGTCATAGATTAGGGAGGACCCTTTCTCCGGATTTTACTGAGGAACTATAAATTACTATTGCAAATGTACTCTATTGCTTTGTTAAGGTAAGAGATAAAGTTTGTGTTTTGTTGTATTCATACTTTACACAGTTTTGTAACTTAGTTCTGTAATATGATGTGCCTATAATGTTCTTTTTATCTAAAGCTCTTAAACAATTTTACTTTATGAGGTATGAAATTTTTAACATTTTTTCCAAGATTAATCAAAACAATTTCACCTGATTGATTCTACTGCATTCTATATCTGTAAGTTCATACCTTTCCTAAGCTTAAATTGGTCAAATTTGTTCATTTCTCTTTTAATGTATCTTTGGGAATCTGCTTTTTTTCAGGTTCTAACTGCAAAAACACTTTACTCTTTCAACATCTTTTTCTCTTCCTTTAAAAACTAACTCATTTTTTTTCTTGCTGAAGATACCTAACCTCATAAAATTTTCTGCTACAGTAGGTGAAATGTTGGTTCACAGAAATTTGCTAGGAAAATGTGATATTTAAATCTCTTGATTAGTCTGTTTTACAAATGTTCTGATTTCTATATGATTACAACAGACTGATTTTCAAAAATCTCTTTTGTGTGTTGTTTTCTTGTGTGTTAAAGGTTAGGAAACTTTCCTGATGGTGCTGAACTGGCCTGCTCGGTCGCATCTCAAGATTTTTTCAAGTATTCCGTTCATAGCTCTCATGTTGGAAAATGCGATGAGAAGACCCTTAAAGGCTCAGAAATAGAATAAATATTTACTTTAAATATCACAAATTTTTAACTTGGCATTTCAGAAATCTGCAGCTCATCACAACTGGTCAGCATGCAAATGGAGAGCAAGCTTTGGGGTAAGAATACCACTCTCTGACTGCAGGGTTGTCTTTAATTTCTTTTGTTTATTCTTCCACGATTCCGTGTAAGGCCAGATTTTGCAGATCATACTGTGTGCCTATTCCCCAGTCGTCTGACTTGGCAGAAGAGTTCCTTCTGATTTGTGTCTGTGTTTCAAGAGCCAGCAGCTTGGAGTGAAGATCCGTTTTGACACTCTTAACCTTGCTCTTTCATGTCAGCTTTTCTGAAGCTCAACATTTCTATTCTCTGTTGTAGGTGCCTTACATAGTGCCGGGTCTCCTTTCGGGGAAAGAGAGGAATCCACTTTGAGTTTTGACTGCTCTACTTTGCAAGCTAATTTTCAGATTGGAGCACTAGGCTACGATTAATGGGATTAAATTTAACAAGTCGAAATGCCAGATTCTGCACCCAGGATGGAGTAACACTGGGCACAAATATAAATTGGGGGAGGAGTAGCTGGAGAGCAGCCCTGCAGAAAGGGATCTGGGGGTGCTGGCTGACAGCAGGCTCAATGTGAGTCAGCAGTGTGCCCTGGCAGCCAAGAGGGCAAACCGCATCCTGGGGAGCATCAAACACAGCATAACCAGCCCATCAAGAGGTGATTATCCCGCTGTATTCAGCGTTGGTGCGGCCTCACCTTGAGTACTGTGCGCAGTTCTGGGCCCCACAATTTAAGAAGGATGTGAAGGCCCTTGAATGCGTCCAGAGGAGGGCAGCAAAGCTGGTGATGGGGCTGGAAGGAATGTCCTGTGAGGAGCGGCTGAGGACTTTGGGCTTGTCTAGTTTGCAGATAAGGAGGCTGAGGGGCGACCTTATTGCTCTCTACAGCTTCCTGAGGAGAGGGCACGTGGAGAGGGAGGTGCTGAGCTCTTCTCCCTGGTATCCAGTGATAGGACGTGTGGGAATAGTTCAAAGCTGCATCAGGGGAGGTTTAGACTGGACGTTAGGAAGCATTTCTTTACCGAGAGGGTGCCCAAGCCTGGAACAGGCTTGCTAGAGAGGTGGTTGATGCCCCAAGCCTGTCAGTGTTTAAGATGCATTTGGACAATGTCCTTAACAACGTGCTTTAACTTTTGGTTAGCCCTGAATTGGTCAGGCAGTTGGACTAGGTGATTGTTGTAGGTCCCTTCCAACTGAAATTGTCTATCTGGTACATTGGCTTGTTTGTTCAGAAACAGTTCAGAAGGGAAGAAAAACTAATAATGGAATTAGTACTCAAATAATTGAAATTTCTCTCAAAAGTTCAGAGCAGGAGGATGAGCACTAATGTCCTTCTTGTGGAAAAAACGGAGCAAGAAGCCTCTTGACGGTATTACATGTATGAAGTTTTACTGGATTTTCTCTGGGATGCCAGCCCTCAGGCCAATTAAAAAAACTTGATCTGACCACGGCTCTCAAGCAATGGAGGTCTTGCTAAACTAAAAAAGAAGACTAATCTGTCTATGTAGTGGAAAAAAGGGTCTAACTTGCAGTGCTGTGAATCATCTATTTTCTTTGGTTGTAGGAGGAGATCTTTGTTAATCCTTGTGAATGGCAGCTCCTCCTTGTATCTATAGACTTGGACAAAACGGTC